AGACTCAATGCACCATTTTTGAATCACCCTGTTTTAAAACTATAAAGATTTTTTTTGACAAAACAAGTCTACACTTTAAAAGGATGAGTGGGAAAAATATTTAAACTTGATGTTTTCTCTCTTCCTCTTGAAATTTTGGTTTTTCTGTTAAAAAAATTGGAAAATCGTATATACTTTACGTATAAAAAAATTGATCCCTAAAGTACGGTAGAAGTTTTTGGAAAACTTATAAAATTTAATTTTGCCGTAAATATTAAGCACGTGCAGATAACCGGCATCAGGGGCAGCAGATCAAACTAGGTATATATGTATTTGCATTAAAAGACAATGAAATTTTATTAATTTTGTCTCTTCAATATGTATATAGGAGAGGACTAACTAATTAATAAAGTTACAATGGAGCAAAACTGTCCGAATACTATTTTGGATCAATATTCTTAGTTTTTCTGGAAAGCGTTATTGATTTGATCAACTAAAAAAAATATATAGAAATGTCCGCATGTTGAATTACCTACTCTACGAGACCCGCTTGTCGAATTTCGTACTATAGATAGCGTGTCTAAAACAGAAAAAAATTAACCTATTAAAACTACAATAATAATAATAATAACAAACAAAATCAAGGTAGATTCATAAACCACCAGTACGGGAGTACATTATTTTATAAAATTTAAATATCGATAACTGCGCAAAATTGTTGGTGTGAACGATTAAGCAAATCTTGATTAAGGTTTTACCATTTACGTGATATTACTAATATACCTAAAAAAAAATGGTCTAAAGTACCATTTACGTGATATTACTAATATACCTAAAAAAAATGGTCTAAAGAGTTTAGACAGTACTTCCCTCGCTGTCGGAAACGTGACGACTGCATGTTTTTTTTCGCATTAGATTTCAAAGCATTCGGTTTTGTAGTTCTTGATTAAATCAACAAAATAAATTTGCGCATTCATTAAATTTTTTGAGGCACCCTGTATATCCAAATCCAAAAAATATGAATGGAATGATAAATTACAAGAAGAGACTCATCATATTTTGTACATTTTAGATAGGATTATTCGGCAAACTTTTGAGGTGACGTCATCAATTTTTTGGAGGGGATAAGCAAATATATTTTGAATAAAAATTTATTATGCTTTTTATAACCTTTAAACATATGCAAAATCTCAAAGCATTCGGTTCTGTAATTGCTGATTAAATCAATAAAATAAATTCACGCATTCATTAATTTTTTTTGGTCACCCTGTATATGCATATCCAAAAAATATGAATGGAATGATAAATCACAAGAAGAGACTCATCATATTTTGTACATTTTAGATAGGACTTTTTCAGCAAAATTTTGGGGTGATGTCATAAATTTTTTGGAGGGGATAACTAAATATATTGTGATTAAAATTATATCATGCTTATCATAACTGTAAACCATCTGCAAGATTTCAAAGTATTCGGTATTGTAAATTAATTTTGATTTTTTTTCCGAAAATCTAGACGTTTCGGGCAAAATCTCAATTCGGAATCATAAACTACATGTGTAAGACTATGCTATTTGATACAATTTAAGACCCAATTATTATGTACAATTTTAAAGTGACGTCATCACATTAGTGGTGGGGACGATTATACAAATTTTACCATCTACATGATACACCTAATATAAATACAATCGGCCCAGTACTTTCGGAGATTTATCTGTCTAATAAAAATCCGGGACGGCAGACAGATGGACAGACGGACAGACGGACAGTCAGACGGAAACGGGAGACCTATTTCTTCGTCTTCTAGGGGTCATGAAAGATCGAGAAAATGTAAAAGTAGAGAGTCGGCCGACGGACTCGATTACAATACTTCCTTTGCTTACGCTCGGGAAGTAAACAATTCGAGCAATATTGATCAAGTAGTTTCGGAGATTATTTGTCTAATAAAACTCGATACAGACGACGAAGAACTGACGGAAATGGGGGACCTTTTTTTTCGTACTCTGTGTCGAGAAAACATGAGAAAACATGAAAGTAGCCAGGACCCTATTACAAGGCTCCCTTAGCTTGCGCTCAAGAAGAAAAAATAGAACTTTTTTTTCACATTGAACATCCTGTGTTTTGTTATTACATTTTATTCTGCTTTTTGTTCCGTGTCTTATTTTTAAGTGTTGATATTTTTTTTATTTTTACCGATATCAACGGAAAGAGAACAGAAATTAATAAATCTAGTGTTCTATGTGAAAAAGTTGAGATATGGTAATTTGAGGATTATAATATTTTAGATTCTTTTTTCTAATATTGTATACTTGAGTTTTATTGATACTACGACAAAGTACTTATACATAACTACCTATAGAGTATACTTAAAATATAATAAAATAATAAATAGCCCTTTCACGATTTTTTTGTAAACCTTTCCATTGTCAAAAAAATTCAAAGAAATTGAAATAACTCGACAACTTCCTATCGGAATCTAAAAAATAAAATATGATTATAGTGTCCCAAATACTACAAGTTTTGTGAAGACGACAACAGAGCAGTCAATAAGGCCACAGTTGTAAATTGTGTTTGTGTTGGTTTAATGTGCCAAAAATGTTTATATCCATTTATATTTATTTATAAGATCCCATTATTAAGTTTAGTGGGGCCATATAACCTTGTAGTATTTCGGACTCTATACAAAGCGTAAGAAAGGTCAGGGCATATAAAAATGTGTAGGTACTCCATTTAAAAAAACTAAGACTTATGTTGCAGCTCAACATTATTTTTATCTTTAAGAACACTAGTTTATAAATTTTTCTGCAGATATCAAAATGACAATTTTTGTGTGTTTGATCTCCTGAATTCAATTGCATTAGCCAAAAAAATTCGTCTAGTTTCTGAGAAACAAAAGGTACAGCTAATTAATATAAGAGCGCTGATATTTTTCTTTAATTGCGTTAGATATTTTTTAAATGTTTTTTGCACAAATTTGAGGTCCATGAACGATCAAAGTTAGCATCTTCACTTAAACTTCATTAAAAATCAACATTTTTTTAAATTTTATTGGAAACAGGGGACTAGGAGAGTTTTTTTTTTAGTTGGAAATAATACACTGATAGAAAAAAGTCATATGGATAGGAAAAAAAAAACTGCTAACACATTTTGATTAATTATGTACACATGTATAGATATTTTTTATCAATATCAATATTTAAAAACAAATATATAAAAAACATTTTTTCAATTTACAAATTAAATTAACTTTTGTCTTCGAACTAAAAACAATGACGTTTACGGGGCTTCAATATCCGTTCGCAAGATATAAGGCCTCGGAGTTTTAACTGGGACACTTTGTATGCAATAAAATCTTACGGAGTTTGATTATAATATCTTTTTCCAGACAAAATAGAATTTTTCTAAAAACAGATTCAAATTCAAGATGAAAAATTATCCCAAAAAAATAATTGTCTCACTGGGGGTAAAAACTTCTAAATTAGTGCACGTATCCTTATTGGTCCACCCTTTATATAAAATAAGGAAAAATATGGAAACAAACCCTGAAAATCGAAAATACAAAATATTTTAAGAAAAACCTTAAAAAGATGCAGATAATGAAAAAGTTAAAATACGGTTTAGGTAAGTTGGAAACTACAACAAAAATTACGATTCCAGTTCTGCTAAACATTAAAGTACTGAACGAACAAATTTTGAAAATAATTCCTTGTGGACATGAAAAAACGGAAAATAATTCTTGAAAATTAATTATACTGGAAAAGTATTTTGGGAGAAACGAAAGTCAGGTGACTAATATCATCTTGAATAAAAGGATATACAGGCTGTCCGAAATGTCGCGAATACACAAAATATCAATGAGTACGAAAAAATAATTAAAAAATTACTTTCTATGTGTATCTTAGGAGAATTATATTTTTATAAAAGTAAATTTGGCAACCGTGAACGTACTTGGGTTTTATGCTTTTTTTTACAAAAATAAGACATTAATAACGTTGCCTATTACATATAAGGAAATAGTAATTAAGTACGCAATTCGAAGATAACATATCTTCGCCAAAATATGGGAACAATTTTTTTTAATATTTTACTCAATCTTTGATGTATGCGCGAAATTCCGAACAGCTTGTATGTTAGACTAGAACGTAAAATAAAAAAGAAAATAGCGACACCACATTGTTCCAAGTTTTATATTTTTAGTGGTGACAGTAATTTTTTTGCTTTAATTTTAACGAGGCGGTGAATATTAAAATTTAAAAATAAAAAAAAAGCGGTTTGGTCGTTTTAAGCCAATATTTTCATTTTGTACTCTCTTTATTATCCAGATCTTTCTTTCATTATTAAACTTCATAAAACCAATTTCCATTAAGAATTGTTTAACTGAAAAATTAAACAAGAGCTGTCAAAATTTAATTTACGGATATATTTAAAAGGATTTCTCAAAAATTAATTACAGGGTAGGATTCCAAAACTGAAAAATTCATTCGATAAAAGCATGCCCTTTGTGTCACTAATGTTATTTTATTCTATTCAGTTCTGTTCCTTTTTATATCTGTCTATATCTTCTGGTCACTTTTTAAGTTTCTCTAAAAATTTCGGCTCTTCAGTTAGTAGTGATAAGGCAATTTTTTATTATTGTTGTAGTTAATAGTATATAAGTACATTTGCGATAAAAATCGTACTTAGTGCTTTGTAAAAAAAAGTTATGAAACTTTGTTATCACAAATTTTCCACTTGTACGTCTAGAAATAAATCGAAAATAAATATACTCTAAAGGACGATTCGTTTTAAAATCTACAACGATTATCTCAGAAGACGTGATTATCTCTACTATCTGATTTTAAATATGATATTTCCAAAAAATTACGCATCACAGTTTTCAAACAGTTTTTTTTTTATCAATTATTGCATTCATTTGTAATTTTACTTTATTTTCATTTTAATGGCTATTTTGACACAACTGAATTACTACTACTTACAACTAAAGAGATATGAAACCAAGTTTGAGGGTCAAGAGTAGCAATATTGTCTCGATACGGTATCTATGATTGAACTTGTGATTACTTTCGACAAGTGATAAATACCAGAACAACAGTACTCGTGCCACCATTTCACCAACACACTATTTAAAGGTGAGTTCATACATTTTAACCCTAGTAACCCTTTCACTCTCACAATAATCACAATTAGCAATGGGGCCTCAAACTTCACTATCCATCCTCCTCTTATCAACAATCGCCATCAGTGGTACCTTCGCCCAGCACCAAGTAACCCATCTTATGGTACAAAACCTCGCCCAAGAAGACATCATCACCACCATCGTCACCGACGTAGACGAATTCGACTGGAGCGGCAACAGTGGTCCTCAGCACAACTTCGAAGACATTCAGATTCCTGCAGGAACGTACCACCAGCAACAGGAAGATGTGTATTCTTTGGCCACGAACTGTCCTTTCAGCATGATCTTGATATTTTCGGATGATACAAGAGACACATACAGAATCAACATGAAATATGCCCTCGATGACTCTCAAGCAGCTTTTCAACACCTGGAGGGAACACGGGATGTGACATATAGTAGAGTTGGAGATAATGTGTTGTTGATTGATGTCAGAGATAATGGAACCTATTGTGTTTAAAAATTAAAATTTTTAATAAAACGTATCTTAAGTTCCAAAAGGTAATTGTTTTGACTTTTTATAACTATAGTAAAATTATTAGAAGAGGTACTAGAACAGAACTAATTTTGAACGATAAGATAAAGACTGATCTCTTATTTCGAGATCTTGCTTCTTTAGAATTCTTGTGTCATCTACGATAGATAATAAATTATTAAAAGGGATCTAAATATAGTTTAGACCGTTTCTTAATCAAATCAATGTTTGTTAATAAAAAATTATTTCGTATTGACGATTCTGGTCATCACATTAATAAATCATTTCGCCTAATGTAGTGTGATACCCATAAACATTCTAATTTTTGTCATGACGTGTTAATTAAGCCACAACAATGCAGCAGCAAAAAGAAAGGAAATCTCTGCAACAATGTTACTCGCAATAAAAATTCTGGCTGAGGTTTCTATTACGTCCGACATTTACATGGTATGCCTCTGTCTCGTTACACATAGTAATGAGTATAATTATCCTGTTTTAGGTACAATTATTTTTACATTAATTTCACAGAGCAGTGAATTAAATATATCGTCATGTCACGCTAAGGCATCATGACGGCAATTAAGATGATCTCGGATAGTTCCAAATGGACAAACTTAACTGCCTTCTTATTTAAACGGATTAACTCCGCGTACATAATTTAACATAACGTGCTAATTGCGCTGTAAATTGCCTGGAGCACCTGCCTGCGAGATAACCGTATTTAGAACATGAAAACACCGCCTGAAAAAATAGAAACAGTTTCACGAACATCTCTATACAAACCGGAATATGAATTAGTCGAGACAATACACATTTCGCTTCCTGATCTTGAGTGCTAAAGTTCAGCCTTCGCGTTTCCGTCACTGCCCGTCCGGTCTGTCTGCTGCTGACTAGATAATCACTAAACTAAAAACCGTCTATGTGGTAATTTCACCTCGTGCTCTAAACGAGCCTCGCAATCTCCGTCAACAGAAATTTCCCATTTAATTAATCCCAGCCCAGCAAACAAATTAATAAGTGTTAATGAAAGCCGGCCTTAATTAAATTAGATCTATTAGAAATGTTTGTGTTCTCGTCTAGTCCACGTATTGGACTATTTGTGAACAAACACAGCCATCGATGTTAATTATTTGTATTTTCTTCCAACGCTGGCCGTTTACTCCTTTATCTCGGTGCCAATTAACCCTCGGCATGGTTCTTTTGTTTTTGGTGGGTCGTCGATGATTGGAAGACAGGGACGGCTTGCGACAAACAAAGGAACAAAAGTTTGCAAATGTCAAACGGGCAGGACTTTTACTTTCGTAATTCGAGTCTTTAAATGTTGTTATCGGCACGTTGACACACAGTTTTGTGTCTATATTTCTCGTTTGTTTACGCGTCTTTTTTCGTGCCATAATTGTGAGCAAAGCGGTCAAGTTGATTCACGTTGTTTGTGTATTTGCTTACGATTGCGTTACTTTTGCTTGTTTTACCAAAGTGTGAATTGGGTTTGTCATTAGAGATATTTAATGGGCTAATTTAGAAGACTCACCTGAAATTCGAAACAATTTTTAGCTCTCAGAGAGTGTTTGCTGCATATTTGCGAAATTATCACATACCCACTCTTGTTCAGTATGTTCTGATCTGAATGTTCTCTTTTCTGTCTCTGCATGTTGTTTGCTTTAACAACACTTCGGTATTTTTCTTTTATTATTGGAAAAATCGCTTTATTTTGTTAGGTGCTCAGTTTTATAGCTTATTTTAATTTATGATCTTTTTCTTTTAGTGTAAATCAATATCATAGACCAAATATGTTATTTTTGACTTTCTAAAAAGTTGAAGTTTCTTGTTGTAGTTGTTTTGTATAGCATTAATTCGTGTCTTATGTGAGTACATCCAGTACAGTTTTCACATTGTAAAAGTGACATTAGTATTCTTTTCATATTTGGTAGAGTGGGAATACTATGAGAAGGACATGTTAAGCCATCGCAATTCGTCATCTAGGTTTTGACAATTAACGCATCATTTGCGTTCTAAATATTTTCATATAAATTCCTTTCGTTCAGATGCAGTTAGTATATTTGGTTCAATAAAGTTCGAAAAACACTGTTGGTTTATATCACGTAACTGACTGACACTACATTCAACCCTAAAGTATGCTCCTCTCAAAGCATTTCTACTCTATTATGCATTATAAGTTCGAAAATTTTACCAATTTTGGCAATTCTCGAGTCAGAAATTGTAATTTTGAAATTTATAGAATGTTTGAAATCCGAATAAAAAAAAAGACGAAAAAAGGATTCATCAAAAGTTGTGATTTTGAGATCTTAAAAAGAAAGATAAAGACAAAAGAATCAAATTCTAGCATATTTTGAGATTAATTTTACAAGTTTTCTAGGATTCTTTATGGAACTAAAGTTCATATTTGGTTTTTAGTTTAATCCATTTTATAAATATGTTTTTACTATTTTTAAATTGTTTCTCTAATTTTTTAGTTATTGTTTCTAGTCACTTTATAGTTTACTAAATTTTTTATATACAGGGTGAGCCACTATACAGAATTCTATTTTAAGGCGTAACACACATTTTAGTTTTTTCAAATGGAATATTCCACGTGTTTTTATACAGTGTGATTGACCTTTCCGTAGGTTTTTAAACCACAGTTTATTTTGGAAATTCTGATGGGACGTTGACGAGTGATTCCAATTTTTTTGAAAATTTTTAGTAATGGAAGAGTTCACTGATATAAATAAAATTTTGTTTTAATATACAGAATATTTATATAAAAAAAAAATAAATAAATAAATTATGACAATTTTCGAATAACCGATTTCTTTTTTAAAAAGCACGCAATATATTTTATTACTGCATCTTATTCTGTCTTTTTTTCTCTTTTTTGTGTTAAACAGTTTCTATATTTAAAGTTGACGGTTGTTTTTACTTTTTTTAAGCAACAGAACCCAAAAATATAGTAAAATGCAATAACAAAATGCAGGTGTACTATTTGAAAAAAACTGAAATATCTATATTTGAAAATTGTAAGTTTTATTTTCTATCTCTGTTTATCTTTCCATAAAATATCGCAAAACAAATTTTAAAAATAACTTTAGGAATTCGAAATTTACTTTGCGAACTCTTGTAAAACTCAAAAGATTCAAATAATTGGAAGAACGTGGCAACGTTGTATATGAATTTCAAAAATAAACTTACTAAGTCTAGGAAGAGGTTAATAAAATTATGTAAAAATACATAGGGTATTCTATTAAAAGAAAACTAAGTACTGTGCTGTGCCTTGAAAACAAAACATTCTGTATAGTCAAAAATAATTTAATGGATGGTAGTACTCAAAGAACCATGCAACGTTAATCCCTGACTTTTTCCATCTCTAATAATTAATGAAATATCGAAGACCTCGCGGTTAGTGACTCACCCTGTATATCAGGGCTTAAATAAATAAGTAAAAATTAATAAATTGTGGAGAAACATTAATAATATTAAATGCTAATCAAAATTTATTCATTCTTCAACGTTTTTTAAGTGGAACATACTATATATTTTTGCATATTCTGATTGGCATCATCATAGGCTTTATAAACATAGTTTATTTATAACATTTTAATGCGATGTTGTCACGTTATTCCAGTTTTCTTTTTTTTTAAATTCAGAGGTTCGCAAAAAAATTGCAGCCGGATTATTTTTAAAATCTTGTGGAGATGCTTTATTGTAGTATCCATTAAACTAAATTTTAATTTATCGCGTGTTTATAAAAAAAGTTCTACGTCATAAACTGCAAATATCGACATTTCAATTTTTTAAAATAAAGCACTCTGTATTTTATTACTTCCGCTTGTTATATTTTTTGTTCTTTTTCTTGTGATATGTCAGTGCCTCTTTTAAAAGAATGAAAAATCGCCAAAAAAGTATTATCTTTTGATATAGAAAATAATACTTTTGATAAACACCCTATATATTAACACTCAGTTTAATTTATACCACAATAAAGCGCGTATCCTTGTTTATATCTCCAGTAAATATTGTACTAGAAAAAAAAATGGAACAACGTGGCAACGTCGCCTCAGAATCTCAAAAATGAACTACGATTTTAAAGCATGGGAAGAAGTCGATGACTATAGAAATATTTAAAGCAGTTTGCTTTAAAAAAACTAAGTTGTGTGTTAGGCTTCAAAACAGAATACTCTGTACAGTTGAAAATGATTTTTGTGTACCATAAACAACTTACAACTTGAGTGTTTGAATTTTTTCTATTTTTCTTAGTTATTGACATATAGTGGAACGTGCGGTTAGGGACTCACCCTGTATATAGAAATATAAAAACGAAATAGTCTGAAGAGTTCGTTTAGAGCTATAATTTAATATAATTTTCCAATATCCAAAACGTTTCATCTGAGCTTATTATAGCTGTATTATTTTTATTAGAACACACTGTATATTTTTGTAGCTTTGGTTTTTTTACGAAAACAACAGTTAATCAACAGTTTTTAAAATATGTAGTTTCTATGTAAAAAGATGTAATAATTAATAATTATTTTCAAGTCCGTCATATTTAAAGATGGAGATCTAGAAATTTGCTGAAAACTTGATTAAGCTTAGAAGATTAGCTGACTTACCTTGGGAAACATTAAAAAAATGAAATGTTTTAGGAGTAATTTATTTATACAAAATGATTAAATTTGAAAATTGTTGTTATTCAATGAGACACCCTGTATTTAATCATATTTTCGCGTTTATCTCTAAAGAAGCTTCTTTGATGCCAGTTTTATTGAGATTTATCTTAGTAATTTTTTTGGAGTTCTGGCTAGAAGAAACCAAGTTGGAAAATATTATAAAATAGATACAGGTTACATACCCCAGCTGAAAAAATTTTTTTTTTAAACATGAGGAAACTGAACATTCACAAATTTACTTAATTTTATTAATAAGTTTTTTCGACTTTTTATACACATGTTAAGGTAACTAAAAAGTTTTGTGGAAAATTCCAAAGCACTATCTTTAAAAATGTGGATTAGCAAATTTTTTAACTTAATA